AATTACATTTAGTAATGGAGAAAATAAGGTAGCAAAACTGTGAATATTGAATACATTACTCTGGTAGGTATGAACAGGTCTCCTTTGGTCCCAAATATAGCATGAACTTTTCTGAATTTTTTAGTTAGAATTCCTTTTTAGGCCCTTGTTGATGCATGACATTCTGTTTTGTTTTTTATTTAAAAAACAAGAATAAAATATCTTTTCTACTTTTTTTTTTATGAGAAAATATCTTTTCTATTGATCAAACAGGAAGATAATAATATGGCCAAATAAAAAACAGCAAGATGATAATAGTGTATGCAAAGACAGGAGAATCTTAGTCAGTATAATGTAGATTCAGATTTCATCTATGCTGATAAATAAAATTCATATTTTATTCCTTTTGTCTTGAAAAACCACTGTCTTCTCAATGTAGATATTAAGAGTTTTATTTTCTGAGGATCCTTTATGCATCTACTCAACATATTTATCTTCTGATCTGCATGAATCTTCTTCTCTGCTGGAACATAAAAGATTTACTTATACCTGTTTGACTGCATATATACAGCAAAAGGTGGAAGCAACTCATTCAATCAAGGGGTCGTTCTTTCATATTTTCAACTTCAACCCCAGTTCCTGTTGCAGCTTCTGCACATGGTAAAGTTCAGATCCATTTGGTTTAATTTTGGAGCTTTTCCCTTTTCCTTTTTTTTTTTTCCTTTGGACATGATATTTTAGATCAGCTTTAACGTCCAGAGTAGGGTTTCATTGCTTAATGGGTTTGGTAATTCCTGTTTGCATTTTTTTCTGTGCACAACCATAATCTGTACGCAATATGTCATAAATGTCTAAAAATGCTAGGAGTATTATATTGTGGATATGGTGGAATTACACATTTTTTTCCTAGTCTTTTCTGAAGCTTGGTTATGGAAGTCTTTACCATCCGGAAAGGAAGAAAAAAGGATGATGCCAAAACTGACAAAGATCAGCCACCAGTGGATCTCCTCCATGAGTCTGGCATGAAAGAGAGGGATGATGTTGGTGGCAAAGCGCTGCTATTTGTTATTCCAGAAACTCATTCCATTATGAATGAAAATTCAAGGTTTGTAAAAAATGTATATTGCACTGTTCCATTGGGTTTTGACTTTTTAAACTGTTTCAATTAATAGCACCCTGTTTTTGTTTATGTAAATTATGTGATTTGGACGATTTCTATTTGCAGCGAGAAATTCTATGAAGTTGGTGTCAAGGAGATAGATCCTTCCGAATCTGTCCCTAACTGGAATTCCATTGCGGTAAACAAATTTTGATTCTTTTCTTTATCTTTGGTTGATTCCTTTTATCTTTGTGGACATTGATCTGACTCAAATTCTCAACTCCAAAAAAATTAATTTATATTTTGGAATCTTTCATGTTTATGTTTTTCTTTTGATTTTGGTTGCACAATCTCTGTTGTCTCTTTATCCTCCACTGCAGGTATCTTATACAACTCAAACCAGAATCTCTTATTCTAGAAAAAGAGTACCATTGATCACTTGAGTTGTTAGCGAATCTTTTATGTTTATGGTATGCTTATTCTTGTGCGGAAATTAATAATGAAATCCCTTAGTGATGATCCCAGCAGCAAGATGTTTCCTCAAAATGGAATTCAGAGTTGACTCCATTTTGTTGCTACCAAAAACTAAAACCAAACCTTTGATTTGAGTTGGATTCTTGAGAGAGATCAGGGAGGTCAAACCACATGCTGTCACTCTCTACAGATTGACAAGATGGGGAGTCTTGAGTTTCATTTGAGGTCATGGTGATACTAGGAGAGTGAGGATCCATGGTTTCATTTTGTTTTAAAAGGGTTTTAGGTTCGAATCTTACATATTGACATGCCGCTTTACTAGCTGCCTCCTGGATGTCCTTGCGCGAGGCACTAGCTGGACGAAGAAGAGTGTGAACCAATTCTGGAAAATTTAAGTAGGCAGAGCGACCTTGAATTGCCATAGAAGCAACATCATGCGCACGAGCTGCCATTTCTGCAGCAGGGTATGTTCCAAGCCAAATTCTTGAATTCTTTCTCAGCTCGCGTATTTCTGACACCCATTTGCCCCAGCTGCGCATCCTTACTCCCCTGTATGTTGGGTGCCTGTAGGCTTTGCCCTCAGCAACAGTCATCGATTCTGTAGACTTCATTGATCTCTACTTCTTGGAAGATTGCTTAAAGTGTGTGCAATCCTCGGATGCCATGAAGAAGAAATGTTGGGAGGGGGAAAGAAAGGGGAGCTTGATATGGTTGGAGCCGCTTTGAGATGGAGTAAGGAGATGCGCAAAATTGAGAGGAAAAAGTTGAGAGGAAGAGACGTTTGCTTTTATTACTCTATGAAGGGGTACTCTGTCTTTTTTTTCGCCTTTTGGTGTCAAAATTTAATCGAAGGGCCTCTAGGCTGGGCCACTGCTTGTTTTATCCACCTCTTTGATTCTTTACATTCAGAGCCCTCAAGACCTCTCGGTTTGTGTACGGGAGTTGGTGAGAAATTTTTTTTTTTTAAATAGAGTGGGTGAGAAATGATAATTACCTTTTGGATTCTTTACATTCAGAGCCCTCAAGTCAAGACCTCTTGGTTTGTCTAGTACGGGAGTAGGTGAGAATATTTTTTTTGGAAAATAGAGTAGGTGAGAATTCGGCTCTCTTTCTTCCAATTCTTGAGCGTGAAAATACAGTAAATAAAAAGATATATAATGATTTGTTGATTTAAATAAAATTTTAAGTTTAGATTTTATAAAATAAAAAAAAATGTTTGAAGAAATTTTTTATAGAGTTCAATTCGATTTAATTTTAAATTATTTAAAATTTAAAATAACTTCTAGAATTTAGTTAAAAATAAGATGTTAAAAAAAAAAAACCAAATAAAGAGATGAAAGGATCACCTTTCAGTACAACGCACATGCAACCAACAAAATATTTGTCTACCTAACTTCGCCGCCCTAAGCCAATTTCCTGGCTGCGTTCCTGGACTCGAAATCTGGAAATGGGGGAGAGGGCCTGGGACAAGTATGTAGAAGAAGCGCTTTCAAAGCTTATATCTTTGAAGTTGCTTCGATCTCTAAGGCCCATTTGCCTCCCCAACAAACAATGCCAACAAAATACTGAACCCAATGAAGAAGATTATGAGGTGTTCGACGGAATGCAACCGTGGGATCGATCCTCAGTTGAGGTCTCAATCTCCAAGCGGACTTTCCATAAATGGCTTCACGATATTCCCAGTACCGGTACCTTTTCTTCATTCTATTTCCCGTCTTCTTTTTTTTTTTTTCTCCCTTTGGACATGATATGTTGGATCAGCTTTAACGTCCAGAGTAGGCTTTCATTGCTTAATGGCTTTGGTAATTCCTGTTTGCGTTTGTTTCCATGCACAGCCATAACCTGTACACAATGTCATAAATGTAT